TTGTGTATAATCTTGTCAAGGAATATGACTGTAACCCTTTGCAGGCAAACTCGGTCCTCTCTTTTACCACGTCGGGCTTGAGTCCGATGTGGTCTGTGCAAGAAGGCAGTACGCACTGGGCTATGGCAAGCGGATCGATGGATAGTGCCTTATCACTTGATGACTTGAACCTGGAGCTTTGCGCCCAGAGGTCTGGAGCCAAACGTCGATTTGTTGAGCTGTCATTGACCTCCGCTTAGTGGATGTTATCCTCCTAAGCTTCGGTGCAAACATATGGCAACATAGCTCACTGCAGAATCGTGCTAGGCTTCGACATTTCTTCGCACCCCCCATGAGTGAGGCCTTAGGCAGTACTCACGCACAGGAAGAGAGACGCATGAAAAGAAATTGATGCTCAACGGCGTATTGGCTATCAGTGCGTGCGTTCTGCCTCGTGTGAAAGCATGTTTGCGCGCACGACCAAACTGACAACGAGTGCGTGAGTATTGGACGTAGGGACAATTCTTGTTAAACACAATCCGAGGCTTAGCAGTCAGATGAGATGAGACGAACCACAGCTCATGCAAAACTGTTGAAGTGCAATGCAGGAACAGTTTCTTCTCTGGCTGTCGAAACAGGTCTTGCGAGGTCGTAGACTATCTCTCTCACGTCAGTGTCCTTATTAGGATTCTCGCGCAAAGCATCGGTAGTTCGACAAGCAGCTCCCCTTGGCGAAGCTAGATCCGTGAAAGCACCCTGGGTAATTCCCACAAACTCCTTTTGCCTTTTTGACTTTCAACATCTGTTTGACAAAGAAAGCCGAGCCTGCAGCCGCTCGAGTGACCTTGATTTGCGTCTCTCGAAACTCGGCATTGCAATCCTCCTCCTCTCCGATCTGGCTTTTATAGAATGCAGCGAAAGCATCCTTGCTTGCATCTATGTGAGCTTGCTGTGAGCCAATCAGGGACAGTTCTTGTTAAACACAATCCCGGGCTTGGCAATCAGATGAGATGAGAAAGTCCGAGTACAGATCGCGTGCTCAATTGCTTCAACTGGCAACTGCACTGCACGATTCGTCTGGTCTTCCTTCTGGTTCAACATCTGTTTGACAAAGAAAGCCGAACCTGCAGCCGCTCGAGTGACCTTGATTTGCGTCTCTCGAGACTCGGCATTGCAATCCTCCCCCTCTCCGAT